GTCTCCTGAAACAGGGACAGCTGGCTCTCTAATAGATTACCTTATCCGTTAATTGATTACAAATAAACACAAACATAGAAAGAGGCAAGATAGCGACTTTGTCACTGGACCTGGACCTTATCCTCGCTACGTGCTCGACTTTATCCTGCGTGCATTTTCATATTTGTTTAGGCGAGAGTCAGCTAACCGAAAAAAGGGGTGACCTGTGCGTGACCCTGACCTCAGGCCGCACACCCCGTGACCTCGCCATACCTGACCCACCCCAAGCCATTGTTTAACCAGGTGCCTTGGACTTGGCTTGAACCTGGACCGCCAGCGACACTCCGGAAAATCAACAAACTTAAAACTACATAAATCTTTATTAGCTTTTCTATCGAGTCCAGAGGGAGCATACACGAACTGTGTGCATGGAAAACCCCTAGACGAGTGGCAATCAATTAAACAATGTCACTTGCTTGCCACACTTGCAACTTTCCATTTACATGACGCTGAGCGTTGCAGTGGTGGAGGATTTAGTGGGCGGAGACGGAGTTTCGGATGGGACTCAGCGGACGCCAGTCGCTGACCAGCTCCTAATGATGCTGATGGGCTGGCACACTCTTCTATGCGCTTCTTCCCCTCTTATTTCTATATTTAGTTCTGCTCACTCCAAGCACTGATATGCACATTAACCCATTGAGTTTAAAGATTAAACTATATATGCGATTTATATGAGACCATTCAGAAGACAGACAAATGTTTCTGTATTTACTGATAGTCTTTATTCATGCCGATCATAATTTCCAACTTGAATTAGTTTGATAACATTAAGATAAATAATATAATAAGTCGGCGACACTTACGTACAAAGTGGATTGAAATCTTTCTTATTCAGCATTAAAAATAATTTCATTCATGACTTATGTACATGAATAATTTAATTCGATATCATCTAGAAATATAAATTACTCCACTTACTTTTTATACCCGTACTCAAAAAGAGTTATGGGGTGTATTGTATTTGTGGTCTGTTCATCTGTCCGTTCTGATGAGCGCCTAGTTCTCAGAGACTATAAGAGCTAGAGCAACCAAATTTTCATTCCAGATCCCAAGGCCGCTCAATGGGTTAACGCTGGCCTCATGTGATATCACTCTGCTACAAGTGTATTTCAAAATTTCACATTGTGTATGTAGAATCTACATTTCAGATGTGGAATAGACATTATAGATGTAGATAACAGAAGTAGCAAAAAAATGTAAAAAAAAAAAATATTTTAAGCTTCCAAATAAATCATAAGCTCACAAAATTTATATACTGACTGAGTACGGGTATAAAAGTAGAGTCGTGTCCACAGAGGCGACTCACACATTCTTTCTTGTTACTTATAAGTATGTACAATATCTACTTACATAGTTTTATTCTGAATCAGCAAAATATTTTGCTATATTGAAACCGAGACTTCAAACTCTTACAAGCATAAGTCTTAAAATTCAGAAAGTCATACCAACTCTTCTAAACGGTTTAAAAGTGTTTTGGAAACGCTTTCAGCTACTATGATTGATATGACAATCAATTCTCTACCAAACTCTCCTCGACATGAATCTCCCTGTATTATTTTTGCCATTCATTTTGGCATCTAAGCTCTTTGTTGGCGCCTTGCCTTGCCGATCCCAAGGCCGCTCAATGGGTTAACGCTGGCCTGGCAAGGCAATCCATTTAGTTGTCTGGTGGCGAGGGGTATATGTGATGAGGCTGTGTTCTGCGCCATCGCTTGGGCATTTTATAATTTATCAAAATGAAAATTGATGCCACACGAAGCAAATGCAACTCAAGTGGCCCAGCACACTCTTAACCCGCTGCTGTCTCTCACAGGGCCTGCCTTGCGTGCCATGGTCGTAGCCATGGCCGGAGCTGCAACAGGAGTTGGTGCGGTAGCTGGTGCTGCATGCCACACGAAATGCCATCGCAAATAGCGGAAATTCCTTGGCAAATATTTAGACCAACTTTTTTTTAGTGACACGCGCTCAGGTTGAGGTCCAGCACAGGACCTCCAGCTTTAAAGCTTTCCTTATGCCTTGCCATTGTCTTGTTGTACTCTTTTCCCTCTTTCGTATTCTTTTGTTTTATTACCCTGTGCTCATTGGAGATGGTATAATAGACAGATGATAATATATGGGATACCTTTTGGGAAATCAGAATCACCCTTCCTGTCACCCGAACCACCTGTCCTTTCATTCTCCGTTTAAACGTTCCCTTAAGCGTTAAGCAAATCAAATTAAATGTTGCCTCAATCTATACCTTCGATTCAGCGTAATAATGGGTATCTTTTGGTTGGTATACTCAACTGCAGCATAACTTCTCCTTACACTGAGACAAAACTGGCAAAGTGTAAAGAATTAAACCAGTTTAAATGAAATATTCAGTTTTTACTTTCACGTTCAATGAAATTAAATAGACTTCACATAAATATATTTTAAATATATGTATATATATGTATTTAAATCAAATATATTAATTTGTTCGGTAAAACTAACTGCCCTGCCAATTAAATAAAATATTAATTTTCAAGAGCAAATGAGTGCACAATATTTTTTATCAATTCGTCTTTAGATTACATGATTGTGTGAAAACTATTGTGCCCAAATCTAAGCTGCATCATTGCAGCAGTCCACTTTGTAGTACACTTTTCCTTCGATTTAAAATGTTGTACTGAATTGTTGACCAATTTCTGCAATTATTAACTATTTCCGTTGCTCCGAACGAGCAATTGAATGTGCGAATGGACTTCAGGAACACGTTTGAATCAGTATCAGTGCCGATGAAAAATGGCGGGTGTTAGGAGGCTGAAAAATGCAACAAAAATTTTAGTAAGATCTGTTGAGCCGTTTGGGAGGAGTCCAACCACAACCATCGTTATTTAATTGATAAGTTGTAACTTTCTTTAAACAATTATAACACTTTTAATCTAAGTGTAAGGCCATTCGATTCACAGGGCTTTTTTCTGGGTGTATTGTTGTTCTTTTTCGGACAGTCGGCATTTATGCCAGTTAAGTTGTTGGCCAGTTCGTGACTGCTGGCGGCCTTTATTTGCGCTTGCATTTTCATTTGTGCCTGTAAATAGCATTAAAAATAATTTTCCGGCTTAAAAACGCTCCACACGAACAGGCGAAAAGTGGTTGAGCTGGAGCTGGAGCAGAGGAGCTGAAGAGCGCTGACAGCCGGACGGGCTTATGCACTTAATGAAATGTACACGGCAATTGTTACGGAGACGGAGAAAGCGGAAGCGTAGCAGGAGACAGACCCGGAGCCGGAGCCGGAGATGGATGCCGGAGACCCAGATGGGGACAAAGATGCTGCGGCTCTTCCCTGGTCGAGGTCGGGTTTTGCGTTTGCGTTTGCGTTTGCAGTTGCGTTGTCTGGGCCATCAATTGGAGCCAACTTAAATTTCATTTCGCCCATCGTTCCTGGCCAAATGGCAAGTTCGCATTAAAGGCTTTCCGCCATGCAATCTTGGGTTGGGAGTGGGCTCCCTGTTGTTTACCATTTTAAGTGTTTTTCGAGTTAAACGCATTTAAAAGCCTTGTCAAACGTATCCAATATGCAATTAATAAGCATCAATTTGGACATTCATTTTCGCATCTTAGCTCTTTGTTGGCACCTTGTCTTGTCGGTGGCGGCGGAGAAGCGGATATGGGATGCCTGTACAAGGTTTTTGGAACTGCAGTAGACAGAGGAAATGAAGCAAGTGTAGGTTGAAGAGATCCTTTCTCGGATGATAAACTGCAAGGCGAGGCATTGCCAATACTTAAATATGTACATAGTTATTATAAGATATAATTTATAACTTTAGAATTTCCGTGTTAAAGGTCAAACTCTGTTGAATCATTGTTTTTTTAATCATTTCTTTGACCTGTTATATATCTTGTAATAAATAACTATTGTAAATTATTTAAATTCCCAAATTAATGTCACACTCATTTCAACTGACTTTGTCTTAATTGACCAAGGTCAATTTCCTACACCAACATTTCTCAACTTTGTCCATTTAGTTTTCGCCACACTGAAGTGTTCGCAAATAAATCTAATTGAAATCTATTCAATGATAACATGACCCCCATGAATATTCATGACACTTTCCGCTCATCGCCCTACAATCCTTGGGCAGGCTTGTGTTGTTCTTTCATTTGCAAATGAATTGGCCAAAGCTGAATAATAATAAAACCGAAAATGCCTCGAACATTTCATGGATGAATTAAACATTTTCCATAATTATTTTAAATGATTTTCAGGTGTAAAATCCCAGGCATTATCTTAAATGTTGGCACTCTGATTTCAGCACAGCTCTGAACGCTGAATCCAAGATGCGAACAATGTGAGTAAATCAAAATGAATTCGTTTCAAACAATGGCCAGGCGATGGCGATGGGCCGGAAGGAAAACTCCTCTGGGCTTCAGCCTGCCAAAAGGAATTTTCAATTACAAAACAAAATGCCGAAATAAGTTATTAGACAAAACTTTGGCCAAGTGGCATCGTTAGGGTGTCCCTGTATCTGTGAATATCTATCTGCCTGGCTAATGGTAATTACAGGCAGGTCAAGGCGTAATTAAATATTCTGCCAGCCAAATGAACTTGGACAGGAAGAGTGCCTGACAGTGGAGCTCTAATCATATCAGCATCACAACAATTAGCCCGGCCCAAGGTATTTCTAGCTCTTATTGGTATAAGCCGCTTATTTGGGGGGTGAAAGTCAAGCGAATTGAAAGAGGAATTTCAATTGTAAGGTTGAAAATGTCTTCGAAGGGAAGCCTCTTTAATGTGTGGGACTGACAAGGTACAAGGTACTTTCTACGAAAGGTATAGACAAAATGATAATCTCCATTGATTTACGTTGAATATCTATGGCTTACACATTCTGAATATCTTTTGAACAGGAAAAGGATTGAGGCTAAAGCTGACAGAGGAAGAACTAAAATACAACCATACAACCCATGGATAAACAAATTAAGCTACGAATTGAAATGGACTTTCCATGCTGATGATTAATTTTTTGCAATAAACAGAATAATTTCAACAAATCAAGCGAAAAGCCAAAAGCAGCCTGAAAAATGAATTTAATGCATCCTTTACTCGCGGCTGGGTGTCGCGTCCTTCTTGTCCTTCTGGTGGGGGTCATGATGAACCACGATAGAGGTATTGGGCACACGGACAGGCTTGGTCGCCGAATATTCCTCGCGTCCGAGAAGCGAGGGCATGCTTCGCATATAGCCGAGCGAAGCAATCTGGAGGGCCTCTTGGGTTTCGTCGGGACGTGGGGCTTTAGTCTCGGCAGACAGCCGCTGGTAGCACGGGTGGCTGGGATCAAAGCCCGGCTCAAGCTCGATGATTTCGCCCTCGAAATCAGTCTGATTCTGTGTCGGAGAGCTGTGATCAAATAACTGGGTGTCTTCATCCAACATGTCGGTGTCCGACTGCGGGCAGGTCTCCAGTATGCAGGAGCTCGTCTCAGACTCATAGCTCGCCTCTGAGGTGCTCATGTCAGCGAACTCCTCGGCAATTAGGCGCCGGGCCAGCGGTACCGATAAGTACTCCTTGTAGTGCAGCTTGCGGCGACGCTCGAACTCCAGGCGCCGCACCTTCTCTTCCACGGACTCGGGGAAGTCGTCGTCATCCGACGAGTCATCAGAGTCCTGCTCCATGCCAAAGGAAGGCGTCTCCGACTGCGAGGTTAGGCGCAGCTTCTCTATCAGCTCAACAGTATCCAGCTCCTTGGGCAGGTCATCCTCAAACACGAACGGGGTCTTCGGCTCGTCAATGATCATGTGTCCATAGGTCTTGCCTACCGGATGGAAGGTCTGCAGCACATTTAGCTCATCGAACTTGGCCGTCTTCTGGCCTGCTTGCGGCTGTACCCCGCTGCTGCCACCCTTCAGTATACCCTTCACATCTTCAGAGTTCATTGTATCCATGGGAATGTATGTATATCGCTTGTAAAATAAATTGTGTAATAAATTGTGAACTTTATTGAAAAGTTAGACGTGTGTTTCTGATATTCTATATGTCTGTATATCCGTACGAGTGATGTGTACGACTGTTTGATTTTTTTAATTCTGAAAGGTAACAGACTGCAAAGGTTACTCCTTACTCCCCTTTCTGTTTTTTTTCAGAGTGCAAATTTATATATTAAAATTCCCCAGTGGAACGGAACTCCCTCCCATGGGGATTATCCGCTGCAAATGAAATTTCATAAATTAGAAACCGATTCGCTCTTCCAGCTCTTCCACGCCACTAAACAGACAACAAGGAATCCCCAATGCATGCCACAAAAGTAGATTCTGTCTACCTTCAAATTACCCGTCGTCGTTCCTTTATTGCAGTCCCTGCATAATCCTTTTTGTTTGGCTGCAGGATGTCAAGCACTCCTCCGTGTACTGCATTCTCGATGCTTCATACTCCAAGAGCTGTTTGCAATCGCAGCCATCAGACCACAAAGTAAACTCATTTTGACGTGTCCTGGCTGTGGATGAGGATGAGCAAGGGGATGTCAAGAAGACCCAATCGGTGAAGAGGAGTCCCGGGTATACTATATTCGAGTGGAGTCAGAGCAACGCTTCATTTTGCATTATTGATGCTCTGAACCGGAGTTTTTGTTATTGATGTAAACATATTCATCACAAACATACTACCTCTGACAGCGGAAAAGAGCGGGAGAGTGGGCCACCGGGAGCTGTGTTGCAGTTGCAGTTGGTTCTGTGGCAGCTGCCACTTCAAAACGCTTCACTGCACACAATTTTTTTCCCCACTGCCTTTGCACAAACGTTGCCGCGCCTGACTGAGACGGGACGCGACGGGGTCAGGGTGCATGTATTGCGAATTGATTGCAGCACATTATTTCACAATTTTGCCAGCAAATAAACAAGCCTTTTGGCACAGTCTGTTCAGGCGAGCCCATGCACTGCAAAGAATGGTAAATAAGTTTTTGAAAATATTTAAATAAGTAACAAGAGTATATTTGGTAATCAGCAACACCGTTACTCAAATAGAACCGCTAACACTTGGCTGTTTAGGGGATTAAAAAATCCTTTTTAAAACAGTTTGAATCTGAAAAATTTTATAAACTTTATTAAATTTTTAAAAATATTAAAAATAATTTTACAGAACCCACGAGAGTCAAAAAAACCTGGGGAATGTGTTTCTAAACTAGAATGTATTCCCAGATTGTCTTTCCTAGCAAACACCTCCCAGAGTAGAGACAAAATTCGCGAATTTCTGCCAGTGTACATCAGCATCCCAGCGATGCTGGCATGCATATGACGAGCGGCGGGGGCGGCTGCTTATAAGCTCAGTCGGTGCGACAAAACAGCACCAAACAAGTGACGATGAAGACGAGTTCTTGTGGAGGGTGACGATGATGATGATGGTGATGAGATCGATGCCAGAAAACAGTCAACAACTGTTTCGGTAGTCGGAGTTCCTGTATCGCAGCCATGTTTGATTGCCTGCCCACGATGCTGTGTGCCGGAGCAGCCGGGATGTTGATGTGGCTAAAAATTTTTCCTTCGATTTACGAAATTGCCGTTTGCCCGATTGCATTTCTTATGGGGGGACCCCAGACCCCAGACTCCGGTTTTGGCTCTGGCTCCGGCTCAGTAGCATCAATTGCAACAATGTGATGCGGGGAGGCAGGATGTGTGCAATGCATATCTGTGTGTGTGTGTAAGCGTGTGTGTGAGTGCTACGTGCTACATATGCGCATAAGTAACAGCTGTGAGGTGAGTGAAGTGGGAGAGAATGGGGGAAATGGGTTGCAGAGACGGAGCAAGGCGCTTCCTTGCACGGGACCACATATCAACAGGATTTTATGGCAAAATCATAAATTTCCCTCGATTCTTTCGGCTCTCGTCTTCCGCTACGCTGTGGAGCATCCGTTTCCGTAAGAAGTTGAACCATCTTCCTTTCCAATGAGCGGGGGTGTGGCAAGGTGGGGCTACAGTTGAAGCACTGCTGATGGATATTTCCTTTAAGCGGAATATTTTTATTTATTTCTGTTCAACCAACTCTCTGGCAGGCAACCTAGGGCTCTGGGAATGAATGAATCGGGAGAGTCCGCTTGAGGGATCATTAATTGTACAGTAAATTATCAACAGGCGGATTTAGACTTTACATGGAAAACTTTTAATTTTCAACTTTAATTTCAGCCTTTTTAAGGCAGAGATCTCCGTCTAATTGTATGAGAGTATCACAGTACTTATCACAGCTTCTTGAGAACAAAGAAGAGCCCTCTGGTTTCAGTGTGCCTGAAATGAAAGGGTTTCCCTTCCCAGCAGAGCCTTCTCTACATTTCCATCGAAGAAAAGTTATTCCTCCTTGGACGTCCATCCGCAAAAGCCTTCACTGTATTGCAATTCAAATTGGAATGGCAAACGGTTATGCATATTTATTAAAAACTGTCTGCTGCGATTAAAAGCCAATCAGACCAATTGCAAATTCCTTTTATTGGAGCCGGCTGCTTGCCTACGAGTACCCGCCCCCCGACCCACACTATCGCCCATGCCCCCCTCTTCTGGCTCCCACTGTGCAGGCTGCAGTTTATAAATATTTAAAATTTAATTTTTGCAATACCACACACACACACATACAGATGTCTCCCACGTTCCCCCAGTGCAATGATATGCTTGATGTTGGTTTGCAGTTTGTTGGTTTTGTGTTTTTTGTTTTTGTATTCTGCCCCCCACCCACCATGTTCTCTCTCGTTCTTGGCAGTAAGATTAAAGCGAAGGTTCTCTTTCCCTCTTTCGTTATTTTATAACCGTGAAATGGATATTTCTTTGGACTTTTGAAAGACTTTTGCATACGCATTAAAGAAAACATTTTCCATGCCATATAATTTGGGTATAATTTCTCGATCGTCATAAAATAATTCTATCAAAACGCTAACGATCAGTTCAAAGTTCTTAAAAATTAAAAAAAATAACATTTTAATGTTTCTTCATTTCACATGAAAATTAAATCAAATTCGGATGAATGTTCAATATGCCAAGGGTATCAAAGGCTGCGGATCCCAAAAGCTTGCATCCTGTGTCCCGCCCCTTACTCCATCTCCCTCCACCTGTGTGTACCGTTGCTTTCTGCCTTTGCCTGCACTGCAATCGAAGCGTAAAACGTTCCAAAAGGCAAACACGTTGAGCGCAAATGTACCGCGTTTCCTTTTTGGCTTTGCACTGGCACCCCACCACCCAACCACCCATCCATCCGCTATTCCCGACTCTCTCTATATCTACTTCTATACCCCATCTCTATACCATTACCCGCCCCCAAACAAACCGCTAGCCAAAACCGAAACCAATACCTGGATCACCTGGAAGCCTGTTGTGGGTGTCTCTTTGTGTGTGTGTGTGTGTGTGTGTGTCCGCGTAGGAGTGTGTGTTGGCAGTTAGCTAGCGCTTGACAGCTTGGCAAACAGTTAAATAAAGTTGGCAGCCTCCCTGCTGCTTCGATACTACTGCCACCCACTCCTCCCCACTCTGATACTTGCTCACCTCGTAGGGTGTTTGTGTGGGTGTGGCCAACTATCTAGCCAGATTATTGTACCCTTATACTTCAACATTTAAGTTGGAGCATGTTTCCTTTGAGGGAGTTTTTACTTATTCCAATTATGGAAGCTTTCTTTATTTTGGATGCACAATATTAAAGGTTTGTCATCAACAGAGACTGGGTAACAGAATCATCTTTTATTTAATTTCGTTCACCATATTTCTTTGACGTTCATAATCTTTGGATGAGTGTACGCCGTACACTGTACACTGTACAGGTGTGTATGTACAGGAACGACTAAGAAAATATATGTAATTTCCCTTCAGAATTACATTCATAGCTCTCTCTGTAGTGGTTTCAAAGGTATAATTTTTTATTCAGATTTGAAATAACTAAAGTTTCCTGTCAACTTATAGTGTATATATACAGCAACTTTTTCTATCCATAAAAAATCCACTAACATACCGCCAAATCAGTCTGAACCATTGACATTTACTTCGCCGTGAACGTACAGAGTATTTACCTCTTCCCAGCTAATTTAATTAGATTTTCGTCAAATTTGACCAGTTTCATGCTGCAGTTGTTGTTGTTGACACAGAAGGCACTTGCAGCTAAACTGAAATTCAATTAAAATGGAGTAAACAAGCAACAAACAGAGCAACTGACAGCGCTTGACGAAGTATATTAGAAAAAAAACCAAATTAAATTCGCTTGTTCATAAAACACAAACTAAAAATGAAACTGCCATATTGTGCCACAAATACAGCTTCGGTCCACATTAACTGCACCGAAGAAGATCTCCATTCTTCTAGAAAGAAAGAGTCCTGTTTCGGATGAAGGGATCTGCGTGCCAAAGAGGAGCAATAAATTAAATTAATAAATTCAATTAAACATTTTATAACCACCTCTTGGACCACTAATTTGTTTTATTTTGTTTCCTTCTTTACCACAGACCAGATCTTGAGTAATTCCTTAATATTTCATTACCTGTGAGTTTGTTTTGCAACAGCTGTTGATACTACTTATTGCTGCAGCTTGGACTTGGACTGCTCATTCCACAGCCCCCTCCGCTGCTCTTTCCCCAGTTGCCAACGAGAACACTTAATTATTAGCAAATTCTCGGTAGAATTACAATTTCATGACAATGACACAATGGGGCAGCTAATGAATATGAATTACACGGGTTCCCTTCGTTGCACCGCCAACTGTTTGTCCATGTAGCAAGCACAAAGACAACGGGACAAACAAACACGAACAAACAACAAGCAGAGAACACAGCAAACAAACATTGAGCTGATTGTGCGGCAGACAAGGACAAAGATGTTGATACACTTAAGCGGCTCTGGCACGACAAGTTTTCCACCGACGAAATGGTAGGCCCTGTTGGCTTTCACACTTACTGCTGTGGCTTTCGTGGCTCTGGTGGAAAAGGGTTCGTATAAAAACAGGTTTAGAGAGACTCACAGAGGGAGATTGTATTGTAAACCCACTTATAGTATGTGAGGCAGCGAAACTTATGCGACAAAGTTTCAACAGTTATTGTTGTTGTTTGTGGTGGTGGTGCTGCTGCCACACTCTACTGTCTTTTCATATAAACTTGTTGGTAGTTTTAGTTGTTCAAGTACATACTCTACTCAATTTTTTTTGTTTTTTCTCCACACTCTCCACTCCGCCTCTGTGTCATTGCACTGCCCTCGAACCAAAAACAAACTTCACGGAGCAAAACTCACATAAATTACGCGCGCACAAGCAAAAGTCACCAAATGTCAAATGCAGCAAAGGGAAAAAATCCAAAAAAAAAAGTACAGTCCCACACAAACACACAGGCAAAAACTAAAACCTAAATTGCAGCAAAAGCATTGATGGCAAGGGAAACAATAAAAATGCAAGACAGCTTACTGCAGATACCCTTCCAGTTCGAGCAGCATATGTTCCCACCTATGGTTAATCTGTTTTTCTACATTTTTTATGTTAATAATTCAGTAATTTCAAGTTCAGTAATCGGCTAATGAATACATACCTAGACCGCTAGTAAAAAAATCATTCCAAGCGCGGAATATACCATTATTCATCTTAAATGATAATCTATGCATTTCCCACCATGATTTTAAATTTAAATTTTTAAAAGAAAGAAAAAAATGTTTTAAAAACCAAAAATTTAATCATTATTGTAAATTTTTTTTAATAAAACTTATAATGATTACAGTCCCTGACAGAAACTGCTAATTTATATTGTGTAAAGTCATTTTTGTATTTTATGCAGACCAGACCACCAAAACGGAAGTTTTCTTTAGTGCAAACCATTTTTGAGTTGTTCTTCTATGTATTACAAACATCTCAGTTAACTCCTAATACCATCCTTGCCAAGAGTATAACAAAA